ACATTATGGTGCAAACAAACAAACAAAAAGGAACATTTAAGCAAATTTGTTGATAATCTGTATTTATAACTCTGATGCTTTTTGATTTCAAGTCAAAGATTAGTTAAAACTTTTTTCTTTTTAATATCCATCATTAGTATTAGCATTAGTCCGCACAGTTCCAGGAAAGCACTAAAAGGCACAAATTCATGTCCATAATAAGTGTATGTATGCTTTTAAACTGAACAGTCAGGATGTAGAGGCTCAAAGAAGGCTTAAGATAATGTAGAATATTTTTAAAAACACACTATTTCTTTTCTGCTCTTTACAGTTGGGTCCACATAAAGAAATTGGGCCTATTACAATCCAGTCCTGCAATAAATGTTCATATTCTATCTTTGGTGTTCAGATTATAAACACTTTGCTCACGAAGTTTCCTCTTTCTGACTACACCAAACATTCAACCTCCTATCGGGAATTTAATTAACATCTGAAAATGATTTAATCACAATTTAAAAACAAATATAAGAGGAGTAATATGCATGAAAGTAATTTTGTTGGCAGACTAATAATGAATCAGCTCCCTAAAGAGCCTTTCTTCTTACCTGTCTGAAGGCATGCATGGGAGGTGGTACTGGAGGAAATCCAGGAAAACCAGGAGCCCACATAGGAGGTGATTCTTTGTGGGTTTTGGACTTGTGGCCCTTATTAGGTGACTGTTTGTGCTGGTTTGGAGTAGCTGACCTGTCACTCTCCTCTGTTGAAGATTCTGCTTCATGCACCTATGGATAGCAAAGACATACTGCTTTGATCTTTCTCCCCAATTTCACACCATTGGGAACAAATACAGAGAGATCCATAAACATATCTGAATTTGTTTGGGAAGCAGTAAGAAACGATCCAGACAAAAACAGAAAGAGCTAACCCATCTATCCATCCTTAGTCCTACGTTTTAATAGACTAAGAAAGCAATCTGTTAATCGGCAGTGATTTCTATGACTCACCATTTGATAAAATGGTAAAAAATTATTTAAGCCTGATTTGGTCACAATATTAGTTTTGCTATTTTAACATTCATGATGTGCATATGTGAATAATGAAGGTAAAAACTATATGCAAATTGTGTCAGGGAACAATACTACCATTTTCTAATAACTGAATTGTTATTTGTATTGTGCTGCTGTTATGTGAATGCATTTATTTGCACTAGTTTACCTTGGTATTTGATTCCTCATCACCCTCCGAAAACTCTGACAGCAGGTCTTCAAGATTCTGCTCCTCCTCGTTGCCATAGCCTGTATAAACAACTATACAAGTGCCTCTCTTTTTGTCTATGGAGGCGATCGTGGCTGCATAAAGCTGGCCATCCTCGGACCAGTAAGCACTGCATGAGTCCCCAACCTGCCACTGTGACACAACATAAACTGTAATTAAAGTGAAAGCGTAAACACGTGTAAACAACACTGTTTCTGAATGTCTCTGAATTACCAACAGGGTACAGTTGTGGTCAGAAAAAAAAAACACTCATCATGGGCATGAATGTCATGGTAACATGGTGCAGAAGAGGTGCACAAGTTTAAATTAAATTTCTGTGGGATCAAAAGTATACATAAGGCATATATACATATACTCCGAATAACGCGTTAAATCCCTGAGCAAGTCGCATCTCCACCAGATGGCTTTTGGTAACCATCAACAAGCTTTCTGGTTAAATATTTGATCATTCTTCTTGGCAGAGAAGAAATTTGTTGGCTCATTTATATTTGTTGGCTTCCTGCACAAACCCAGGTTTTAAGCAAAGTCCACAAATTTCAACGGGGGTGTGGTCGGGCTTTGGGAAGGTAATTCCAAAAGCTTAATGTTAGCCTGCTATATCCATTCTAAATCCAGTTTTGATGTGTGTTTGGGATCAATGTCCTGTTGGAACACCCAGTTTTATCAACGATTGATTTGAGGTGAAATTATATTTCAACGCGTAAACTTTACTACTCCAAACAGACCTCTTGTCATTGTGGACAAATAGCTCAACCTTTGTCTTGTTTGATCATAAAACTTTTCTACACAAGACATTTGGCTTGTCCATGTGGGCTGCTGCAAATTTCAGGCAGGCTTGAAGATCTTTTGGTGAAGGTGCTTCTTTCTTGGTTGGCACCCTTCCACGTCACGGTGATGCAAAACTTGCTTCACTGTGTACAGTGACACTGATGTTGCAGCAGTTTCCAGTTCATGGCAGACTTGAGCCTCAGCGGTTCCTGGGTTGTTCCTGAACATCCTAACACATTTCATCTAATCTGAGGATGTGACAGATTGGGTCTTCTTTGAGACCTTGGATGAGAGGTCACGTGCCCAAGTAACTGTTACTTGCTTACAATTGTTTAAACTGATTATCTTAAAATCTGAAGTTGTTTAGGGACAGCTCCGAGACCATCCCAACTCGTATAAATGTACGATTCTCCTTCTTAGACCTTCATAGAATAGCCTGGGGTTTCCTATTGTAACAAGCACCGGTCAATCCAATAACTGCTGCCATGCAAATCCTATTTATGATGGCAGAGAAACTATTAGTTTTAGTCAATCATGATCACTAATGACAAGTTAATAGGCCTTGGCCAGTTCTAAGTCATTGTTGAACCTACAGCACCACTTACTGAAATATTTAAGTGAATGTATGTGTATATTTAAGCCTGCATTTATACTTTTCACTCTGTGTGGATTAGAGAAAATCCACCTCCCAAAAATTAGTTGTCCACCACATTCTTGATTTTAAAACCCATTTAGGATGTATGCTGTGCAATCACTCCACAAAGTAAAAAGAACAGTTCAAAGAAATCATTAAAATCCTCAAATTATGATGACATTCATGCTTGTGATAAGTGTAGTTAAACTTCTGACCATAACTGTAGAAACTGTAAATGAAAGATACATTTCGACCACTGATTTGAAACACAGAATCTAAGCTGACTCATGTTAAAATGTACTCTCCAGTTTGATACCTCTGACAACTTTGTAAACATCATGTGTAAATATTTAACTCTAAACCTTTTCCCCTTCAAATGTATCTGTAGCTTTAGTTCCAGTTTCTCACCTCTTTTTCTGGTGCTGCATTGTTTCTTTTCCTACTCTGGTTCTTCTTGTTGTTCTTGCGTTTCTTTCCTGGTTGGTTTTTCTTTGAGACTTGTGGCTCATCTTCACCCTTAAGGGCAGTCTAACACACAAATCAAGAAGAGACTTTAAAGTAGCAAACAACATTTAACATTCACACATACTGCAATAATCCCAAGTTACCTTGAAAGATGCAACTGCCTTGTCATATGCCTTTATCAGTGCGGTGTCATCCCAGATGTCTGAATCATCACTCTGGAAGAGAACAACAAATTTGGAGTCTTTACAATACAAACATGTATTTTTAATGGGTGTAAATAAATAATGGCTAAACATTAAGTGATTTAAAAATAATAAATAACACCTGCAAACCAGATGACATTTACAGCCAATATTTATTTGTTGTGTCACAATAATTCACTAAATAGTAAAAGACGGTGTGCTGAAGAGCAGAAAGACTTTAAAACAATTTATGATGAATAATTAACCAATTTCTTTCGTGGAAAACAGGATAAACAGCATACAAAAAGACGAGCACATTAAATGTTTCTACATTATTATTAATTTTAAATCAGTCTTAAATCCACAATTATAATGAAGCATCTTACAAGCAGTGCATGCAAAAACAGAGGCAGGATGCAAAGGATTTTAGGCTTATTGTACAGTACACCTTTGTCTCCTGTGAACTGTTGCAACTCAACCTAAAACTACTTTGTAAAGCATTTTTTGTAACGCATATCCACAACAGTATATTCCAATAAAGCCACGTTTTGTTTACTGAAGCACATCTGGTATATTGTGTATTTCCGGCTTGACTTCTTTTATTCCTTTTCTCATATCTTAACTTAGCCTAACTCAACGTTGGTTTGTAGCTTTTAGCTATATAGCTCACCGCCTCAAACAACTGTACAGACAGCATAGAAGCGTCATATAAGTCATGTTCCTCCGCGTAATACTGCATTATAACTTGCCTGTCCAGTTCCGCGCGTAAAAAGCACTTCTTTGCATCCGTTCGCCATGTGAACAATTGCTGTATCCAGTGCTAGCCGCTAACTCCTAAACATCTAACTAGCAGCGTGCGTCGAAAAATGTGACGTACAACATTGCGACGTCTATATCTTGCGACGCAGTGGTTGGCTTGGCAACGGCAATTGACGACTTTCCCCTCTTAAGAATCTGTAAACAAAGCATTTGTTGTGTCCTGTTATAGAAAAACCAGAAAGCCTCGGAGACTATAACCTTTTCTGTGCGATGATTGAGTCCTCTTTAACTTCTTTAGGTGCGAAAGTTGTCCTTGTTGCATCCAGCGATGAGAATCACCCACCAGAAAACATTATCGACGGGTGAGTGCTGGTTCTTAAGCTGTGATTATCTCAGCAGTTTTATCTTTGTCAATTTTCATATATTCATTTAAACAAAACGAAACAAATTATGTGATTTTGCTACAAGCTGCTACTAAAAGGCGCCTGAAGATGCAACTTAAAATTGCTTCTTTGCTAAGCTGTCTGTTGTGTTGACATAACACTGCTTCGTCCCTTCAAATTCAAAGTCAAAGTAAACTTTATTGTCATCTCTGCTAAATACAGTTCAGTATATAGAGACGAGACGACGAGGCTCTAGTTCCATACAGTCCAAAAGAACAACAAGAAATATATAAACAGTAAGAATAAAAAGAATGAATATATATACACTTTGAGACTGAGGTAAGGGGAGTAAATATACACTTTGGGGTAAAAGGGTTAATAACGGTCTAAAATTTACAATTGAGATTTAAGGTGACTTTGAAGTGGTTTAAAATGACCATGATTCCTGAGAGTAGGATTCTCCATAGAGCAGCATCTGTATTTACAAAGGCAGTGGTATGTGGAGTCGGGTAGAGTCAGTTAGTGGTTTGTGTGGGTGTATGGGAGTGGGGGAGCTGTAGTGAGTTCAGGAGTCTGATAGCTTGTGGGAAAAAGCTGTCTCTCAGTCTGGAGGATCGGGCCCCAATGCTGCGATAGCGTCTGCCGGATGGGAGGAGGGGAGTCCATGTGAGGGGTGTGACGGGTCACGCACGACCCGTCACACCCCTGCAGCTGCTTTGACGATCCGATGTAGCTGGCTGAGGTCACCGACTTTGCAGTTTTCAAACCACACGGGGATGCAGCTGGTCAGAACACTCTCTATTGTGCCCCTGTAGAACATGGTGAGGGTGGCAGGAGGGAGGTTGGCCCGCTTCAGGCGTCTCAGGAAGTGGAGGCGCTGCTGGGCCTTTTTGGTGATGGAGGTGGTGTTGGTGGTCCAGGTGAGGTTGTCTGAGATGTGAACTCCCAGGAAATTGGTGCTGTTAACAGACTCTACTGTGGAACCGTGGATGCTGAGTGGTGTGTGAGTGGAACGAGTCTTCCTGAAGTCGATGATCATATCCTTGGTATTGTGCATATTTAGTGACAGGTTGTTTTCACTGCTCCAGAATGCCAGCTGCTGAACCGCATCTCTGTACGCTGACTTGTCGTTGCTGCTGATGGGTCCAACCACAGTTGTGTCGTCAGCAAACTTGATGATGTGGTTAAAGCTGTGTAGGGCGGAGCAGTCGTGTGTCAGGAGGGTGAACAACAGAGGGCTGAGAACACAGCCCTGAGGAGCTCCTGTGCTCAGCCTGATGGTGCTGGAGATGTTGTCGCCGATTCGGATGGACTGAGGCCTCTCTGACAGGAAATCTAGTATCCAGTTGCTGAGAGAGGTGCTCAGTCCCAACTTGCTGAGTTTGTCGAACAGTTTTTGGGGGATAATGCTGAGCTAAAGTCTATGAACAGCATTCTGACATAGTTGTCTTTCTTGCCCAGGTGGGAGAGGTGAAGTGCAGTGGAAATAGCATCCTTGGTCGACCTGTTTGGCCAGTATGCAAGCTGCAATGGGTCCAGTGAGCAGGGGAGGTTGCTCTTCACGTGCACCACGACAAGTCTCTCGAAGCACTTCAAAATGATGGGGGTCAGGGCAATGGGACGGTAGTCATTCAGGCAGGTTACAGAGGATTTCTTTGGCACCGGGATGATGGTGGTGGACTTGAAGCATGCTGGGATGATCATCTGGCTCAGTGATGAGTAGAAGATGTCTGTGAAGACATCGGCCAGCTGATCAGCGCAGTCTCTCAGCACGCAACCTGGGATGTTGCCTGGTCCAGCAGCTTTCCGTGGGTTGACCTTGGTGAGAGATCTCCTCACATCGGCTGCAGGCAGAGAGATGTTCTGGTCGGTGGTGGGGGGCGTGGCTTTCTTTGCTTGTGTGTTGTTCAGGGCATCAAACCGCGCGTAGAACTTGTTCAGCTCCTTAGGAAGTGTGGCATCTCCATCACAGGTGCCTGTTGCAGGCTTGTACTGTGTGACGGCCTGAATGCCCTGCCATAAACTGTGAAAGTCCTTTGTGTTGTGGAAGTGGCTCTGGATCTTTTGTGCATGTGCACGCTTTGCTTGTTGGATGGCGCGAGAGAAATTTGGGTGTCTTGAATTAGGTGCTTTATTTTTTGCTTGAATGAGTCACATGATTGTGCAAATGACTGGAAAAGCAGTAGGACTATTGCTTTAGCTAACATTTTTAATATTTCAAGAAAGTCTGGCTACATGGCAGCAAAATATGAAGAAGGGTTTTTTTGCGCAATATTGTATATCTACACAACAAAAGTTGATATCAAAATGTGATCTAAAAAGGTCTCATCAATGGTAAAATGTCATGATTTTCTGTCTTTCTTATCACTCAGAAACACTAAAACGTTTTGGATGTCCACTGGGATGTTTCCTCAAGAGTTCATCATTCACTTCCCTGAACCTACAAACATTGGCACTGTGACAGTGGACAGCTACAATGGTATGGAGGCTGTGTGCACCTTAGGTCAAACATACATGTTCTAAAAACGTTGGGTCCATGTGTAAAATTTGATGAACTGAATATAATAATTTGCAAATCTTATAAAACCATGTTTTATTCACAATAGAACATAGAAAATGTAAAGAATATTAAGAAAAAATAATGGTTCATTTTTAATTCAGTCGTATCAGTACGTCCCAAAAAAGTCAGGGCTGTGACTACACTGCGTAGTGTCCCCTCTTCTTTTAAGAACAGTCTGTAAATGTCTGGAAACTGAGTGACCAGTTGCTGGACTTTTCTTGTCTGACATTCTAGCTGTTCAGTAGTCATGGGTCTTTGTTGTTGTTGTTGTTGTTGTTGTTTTTGTTCATGATGAGCCAAGTGTTTTGAACTGGTGAAAAGTTAGGACTGCAGGAAGGCCAGTTCAGCACCTAGACTTGTCTATTATAAAGTCAAGCTGTCGTAATAAGTGCAGTATACAGTTTAACATTGTCTTGTTGAAACATGCACGGTCTTCCCTGAAAAAGACGTCATCTAGACAAGAGCATGTGTTGCTCTAAAACCTCTATATACTTTTGATCACTGATGTTGCCTTTCTAGATGTACAAGATGTGAGTTAAATAGGTGCTACCATACCATCAGAGAGGTTTTGAACTGAGTGCTGATAACAAAGCAGTTGATCCCTGTCCTCTAGTCTTGGGACTATGTAGTTTTTATGTCTTCCACAAAAAAATTCCAAATATTTTTCCACCTTATCTCAGTCAATTTTAAATGAGCCTTGGTCCAGAGAAGGCGGCGGCATTTCTGGATTGTGTTCATGTATGGCATTTTCTTTGCGTGATAGAGCTTTAACCTAAGTTGAAAGGATGGTACAGTGAATTGTGGTAACAGACAGTGATTTCTCGAGGGGTTCCTAAACTCATGCAGTGATTTCCATGGCATAATCATGCCTGTTTTTCAATGCTGCCTGAGGGCCTAAAGATCAAGGGTATCCATGTATTTTCAGCCTGTATTTATTTGTCCCCTGCACACAGAGATTTCTTCAGATTTCTTCAGATTGACCTGTTGCCAGTTAACCTGACTGGCTGCAAAATGGTCCCCTAGCTGTCTCTTTTTAGTATCACTTACTTTTCCAAGCTTTTGTTGGCTCCGTCCCCACTTGTTTTGAAACATATTTCTTCCATCAAATTCAAAATGACCTTATTTTTTTCTCAGTTTAAATATCTGATGTGTTTTCTGTGTTCTTTTGTGGAAAAAATGAGGGTTCATGAGATTTGCAAATCAATGTATTCATCTTTTAATTACATTTTACACAGCATTTCACAATCCCAGCTTTGTTTAAAATTGGGATTGTATTTTGTGTGGATTGCATGCACCCCGCTGAAGTAAACAGGCATTAAAATGATTTTATATAGCACGGCTTGAAAACACTTTTTGTAGCCACGTAGTATTGCAGATTAGCTGCTCTTCAAGGGAATTATGCGCACCTTTCCCAAAGGTTCAGGTTATGCTTTTTAAAGTAATGTGTGGGATAACAAATTCTTAGTGGTGTTATTGTAGAAATTGACTTTTTCTTTTCAGCCAACTACAAGATATTTGCATTTATAATTTGCTGATATACGCATGAATCCATTCTTGTCATTGTTGTTTCCGCTCCTTCGGAGCCCCCAAAGTTTTAATTAGTACTGCACACTCAGGTTATGTGTTTTATCTCTCCACTGCTAATATTCAATACCAGGCAGCGGTATTGGTTCGGGGTTAGGGTTCTTTCTGATGACTCGTCCATGCAGACATAATCACCCCTTCATGAAACCTTCCAGCAGCTCATTTGCAGTCATGATGTTTCTGCAGTTTATTTGAAAAATTTCTTGGGCTTCCTGAGCTTTACGTGGCCTCAACAAGCCCCCCTTAAGTTCCTGTCACGATATGTCAATAAAACTGTAATTAAGTGGCTCAAAAAAAGGAAAGCTGATTAATCTGTCAAACACTGGACAGTAAATGACTGCTGGGTCATTTAAAGGAAGAGAAACATCTCAAGGATGAGGTGTAACATTGTTCCATATTTAAAATGCTTATTGATAAACATTGTTTTCTAGACATATCTATTTTCTTTAAAGTTTGTATCTATATCTCGTGTTATTTCATGGTTTCTTTCCAATTTTGAATATCTTCTGCTGGTTTCTTTCTAATTGTTTTGCAGTGAAGCACCTGAAAATAGAAAAAAACACCTCACAAAATGCTTCTCAATTTGAGCCTGTCGCAGAGAAAGGTAATAAGGACATCCAGTCAAAGTATTAGTTTGCACCATTCACAGTGTTTTTAACTGGGATTAACAAACTCTTTGCCTTGCAGAGTTTGAAAGTACAGAGGGACATCTTCAGTCAAATGCTATAACAGTAGGTTCAAATGGAAATGTAAAGTAAATGTAGAATGAATAACTTTAATGAGAATTAATAAAACCATGACTCGTCTTTATTTTTCTCTTCCAGCTAAATGGATGCACTGCCACCCACCTTCGTTTCATCATCACCGCGGGATATGATCACTTTGTCTCAGTTCACAGAGTCAGTGTAAAAAATTAACACACATAATTAAAATTATTGTGTGTATAACATTTACGAGGTGTGATCATAAAGTTATGCGGTGAACCCATAAAAATCAAAAAACATACTTTATTTAAATTTGGCCTGACTTGAATTTAATTTTGGTTACACATTTGGTTTAGCCTAGAATGTACTCAGTTGGGAACTTGGATAGCTGGAGACCCAGGAGCTGAGTAGTTATTCCTGTTATACTTCTTTAACAAGTCTGTGTGGTTACAATAATAATTAAAAAAAAAGGCAGGCATTAAAACATCCACACGGACCCTTGCGCTAACCATCTGATGACAAAATTTACGTCACTCGGACCCTAGCGGACTCCAGAATGTATAAAGCAGAATTGATTTTTCAGCAGAGGTAGTGCGTTTGCAGTCTGGTGATGGCCCATCTACCTGTAGCGAGCTCTGTTGTCAAGTATGTAGTACAGGCAGTCTGTAAGCCCCTCTTGCTTGTGTTGTTGTTGGTCAGTCAGCCAGCTGCGGAAAAGAGCGAAGTTCTAAAGTTCCAAAAACAGTGAAAAGTGTCCGCTGCACCGATTGTCTGTAGTTTTTGATCTTTGAAGTTTATTTCATGGTTTCTCCTGTTCCTGTTGAACTCCACCTTACCTATTCTAGCCTACCTCTGGTTCAGATCCAGAAGTGCACAAAAAGATGACCTTGAAGTCATGGATACTGAAATTTGAAGTGAAATCAGGCATACTTTTTATTTTCATGGGAGTTGTGCAACGTTGTGAGCTCATCACATATATAAAAATAATATGACCATTTCTTTTTTTCATAAACATATACAGTCAGGTCCATAAATATTTTGACAGAGATGACTTTATTCTGATTGTGATTGTGTACATTACCACAATGAATTTTAAATGAAAATACTCAGATGCAGTTGAAGTGCAGACTTTCAGCTTTAATTCATTGCTTAAAAATGTGAGCAACTAAAGTGTTTTCGTTTTTTTAAACTCAACCTCTTCGTTCCAGGGGCTCAAAAGTCGTTGGTCAAATTAAATAACTGAAAATAAAAGGTTCATTTCTAATACTTTGCTGACAATGACAGCTTGAAGTCTTAAACTCATGGACATCAGCAGATGCTGGGTTTCCTCCTTTTTACCAGTCCTTTACTGCAGCAGCTTTCAGTTGCTGTTTGTTTGTGGATAATGTGGATACCCTCAAATGAAGGTGGAGAGTCTCCACATTATGTCCGTGTCCATTACAGAACTATAACTGGAATATGTTTCTGTAAACGGGTAAAAAAAAATAACGCTTGTGTCAGTGTCCAAATATATATGGACCTAACTGCATGAATTTGTGGTATTTCATTTTTAATTAAACAATAATAAAAAAAAACATACACACACGCATTATTTGACATAGCTGGGGAACTATGAATCTTCTTGGGATACGTTTGATAGAGAAAACATTTGAATGTATTTTTAAGCCTGCCTTATGATTAGGACATTTGTGTCAATTCATTTTTACAGTTTTTGCTTATTTAATGTTATGGATTCACTAATGGGCCTTATTTTAAATCCTACATTCGACTGTTCCTGCCTATTTCACAAGCTGATAATAGGCAAAGCCTTGGAATAAAAGAGCCGGATGGTGATGAATGGTAGAATTACTTACAAAGGAAGTTTCTCTCTCTGTGTGAGAGATAGAATTAATTAAGTAATTTTGAGCAGCAGGGGCTTAAATTGGAATCCATACAGCCTGCCCACCACCCACCCCCATCCTCACGAACATAATTTGACATTGCCACAGACGTTTATAACCATGGGCAACCTTGCTGGGGGGTTGGGGGACCAGATGGTTTCCCAGCCAACGAGTGAGTGTCTAAAGACTCCAGGCCTGTTCACACAAAATATTCAAGCCACCTCTTCTACTTACTGTATATATCCTTTACACACACACAGTAACGCTTCCTCATAAACACTCATAAACCTATATACCTCAGCTGCCATTTCAACATGTCGGTAGCAAAGGCTTTTCAGCAGTATGTGAGGACCCTTTGGGACTCCCTCCCCAATTACTTTTCTGACTGCACGAGGCTTGGGGATTTGCAGAGCCTGTGTTTGTTATAGCTTGGTCTGCATGCAGGGCCCTGAATAAACCAATAAAAATATGAAATAGTTGCCTGAATAACTGGCCTCCTGATAGTTTAGAGCAACTAATTGCTTAGGGGTATAGTTCGGATGGAGCACATTTGAGTATGTGAGTGTGTAATGAGTAATGAGGCCAAGGCAGAAACTGATACGGTGTTATTGACTCTTCTATTATTTACCAGTATGGAATATTTATTATATTTTTGAAAGTCAGGTTTGGACTGTGAAATGCAGTGCTTCAGAGTCATAGGAGTACATTTTTCCCTCCTCGGTAGTTCAGGTGTGAATTTTAATTCATATGTTTGCTTTAAAAATTTAACCAAAGAGACTCGCTTTGCATGTTGAACAGGTCTGAAAAAGCTCCTCTGTGTTATTAATGAATTCAGGCCCTTTTGTGCTTGACTATCAGCCGATCAGAAGAAACACAGCAGGATATGAGTGCATTATTATCATGTCACTGCAGGGTAGGGCTAAATTATCACCCAGTCTACTGATGGCTGTCTAACTGCTGTTTAGTCATACTCAGACATCTGCTAGACCAGAACTCTGTATGTTCAGCTGAGTCTATAAAAAGAGATCGGATCCTCCCTGAAAACCCCTGTTCAGTAGATGATACAGCTGACAGAGGTTGATTTTTGTAAAATTATTAAAAGCCCACAACAAATATGTATGCATGCAATATATTTTTCAGTTAATTATCAGTTAAAACACATTAAAATGGCTACGTTTCAAAATCACAGGAAAAACATTGTATTTTTTTATTGCAATTGTGTAAATATAGTTGATGTTTTGTATGTGGTTATTTTGAGGGAAGAAATCCGCCACCCACCCCAGCTCTGTTATTTTCTTTCATGACAAACCAGCGATTCTAAATTTCTTGTTATCTCTTCAGTGTGGTCCTCCATTCACGTTGGTGACGAAGCCACGCGCACCGACAATGGGCCTTAATTTGATTTCAGTTCTGATTTGGTCTCATCAGCTCATTTATGACAGAAGCTGAGACACAACGAGTTGTTGTGAAAGGAAGGAAGTGGTATCAAAAGGCCGAAATTAGCTGATTAGATGGGAGAGGGAAACAATCTTCCTATTATTTAAGTCCAACAGGAATGGAGAATGATAGTGAAGAATTGACACTCATATTTATTTATGAGTTTAATTCCAGCAATTGCTCATCAAATTCACCCTTATGAAATTCAGTTGAGAAACATATTAAAAGATAGTTGTAGTAATGATTAAAAACAGGCATAATGGGAATTGCTGCTGCTTCTTTGGGAGCTGGAGAAAGCTCTTTATTCTGTTTTCTGGCAAAATTAGTCTCACTAAACCGGTTTCCAAAGAAGCTGCCAGTGTGTGTATAACAAAGAAAGAAAAAAAATCCAGCTCACATCTGACGTAACGTGCTGTCGTGATGCAAACCAGAATGCAGTATTGGGCCTCTCTGCAACTCCTACTGACCTTGCAGCGGCTGTCCCTTACCCCTACACCAGCCTGGGGGTGTGAAAAAGCTTTTGTACACTATGCTGATCCACCTGTCTCCATGCTGTCAGGCTGAGAAAAAGAAGAGCTGTCAGATACAGGGCTAGCTACTGAAAGCACCTAGTGAGCATAGTACTCCTCAGACATCTCAACCATGCTTATTGAGTGGCTCCTCAGTGCCTTTGCTACGCAGGGCTTCATAAATTACTGTCAAAAACCAGAATCATATTTAAAGCATGGATTTTCAGCCTAAACTATAGATGTGTTACATAATAAATATTGGGGCAGCGGGACTTCTGCTTCATATTTAAAGAGTTAATTTAACCCTTTAAACCCAAGAAAACCCACAGGTTTTTGTCACCTTATGAGACTTCTACATTATCAATGTATCAGATTAAAAGTTCCAGAGATGGTGGATCAATGCTTGTAAGTGCGGGAACAGGAAGAAAACCTCTATTTACTGGCCATGATCTTCAGACATGAATATGGACACAATTCTGTAATAGAAAATTACTACAAGGACAAAGAGCAATTCCAGAAACCATCATCAATGAGCACAATTGTGGCTTCATCCAGAAATGCGAGTTTAAATTCTTTCATTGTGCCAGCCAGACAACATCTGTGAGACAGCACTAAACCTTTCTGCATGTATTACAACAGCATGGCTCCATAGTAAAAGAATACAGGGGCTAAATTAGCCTGTCTACAAACCAGACAGTCAGCCACTAAAAACATTTGGTACATTATGGAATAAAAGCCAATAAACCAGGCTCCCAAACTGTTGAGCAAGGAAATTCATTGATCTAAAGCCTAAATGGAAAAACCCTGTGCTTTCAACACTACATCAGTTTGCCTCCTCAGTTTCCAAATAGAAACAGCTTAGACAAAAGCACTGGAGTGCTGAACTTTTCTAGACATTGCACAGCAAAAAAGCACGAGAAAACGCAGTCAGACTGAAGATTAAACAGTCTTTTACCTGCAAGGTCCTAATGCTTCTACCTGAGAATCAGGCAGGTAGTCTGTTAAAGTCAAAGAAAGTACGCTTTTTCTCTATCCAGCTGTCACTCTTGCCTAAACCAAGGGTGTGTCTTCATGTCTGCTACATTTGAAAAAGGGCAACTCAGAACAATGATCAGACCTGATTCTCCCAACATTTTAGTTTAGTTCAGTTGAAAATATTGCCATTCTGTTTTTATTTAAATTTCACAGCATTGGAAACACTGAAATATCTTTGTAGAAGCAAAAGTCACTTTTGAATAATCTTGATTTCAAAATAGAGCACAAGAATTTTGTCAACATTACAAGTTGTGATGCACAAAAGGCAACCATTTGCAACATGTTTGATTTGCTTTGCTAATCAGCTATGTTCATACTAACCCAGGATGAGTTAGTAAAGATTTTTGTCCATGATATGCAAGTTGCTCTGTGGCTTATTGATTTATTTTTGAAAATGGGGTTTCGAGCATCTTCTTAAAACCATTATCATAGCTGCAATGTCCACCATCCTTTTGTTACTTTCCTTGTTTCACCAGTTTCTGTGCCTAGGCTTAGAGTAAGGTACTTTGTATTGAGTGCCTACTGGTTACAGCCACCCAGCTTAGATTCCACTTAGTCTGTCTCCCTCCAAATCCTTCCTGACCTGCAGGTAGAATCATATATTCTGCCTCACTGTCTGTCTATGTTAGTGTTGAGCTTGGTGGAATAGTTAAACTTTTGCTTCACAAACTACTTTGCCCTTGTGGGGAGTGGAATAGCTCCAGAATATTAGAGCCAAATGGCTGGGACTGTAGCTAGGAAAGATTGTTTGCCTCCAGTGGGAGCATCGCCAGCTTACGCTTTCGCAAAGTTAGATGAGCGGTTTAGATAGACATTACTGGAAAATTGCCCTTTTTTAAACTTCTAAAATATTTGCTTTTATTGTAGACTATCCAGCTCCCTTCAATCTGTCTCCTTCTCACAGAGCACAAAATAGATGCCAACGTTTACACTTGGTGTCTGTTAGAGGTCTATATTGTACTTCATTAAGTTCTGGTTACTTCATTAAGTTCTGGAAAAATATGGGTGGGGTGTGGGCTGAGATGCCACTGGAGATCATCCATTGGATCTTTAAGGTGTAGTAATTTGCCGTGCATGTGGTTGCCACATATGAGGTAATGTTGTAGGTCTCTTACCTGTTTCCTAACAGAAAACTGCCAAGGCCTAACAAAAAGCAGCTTTTAACTAAAGGAGCAGGAGCACTCATCATTGCTTCCTTTCGCCCACAAAAATACCCTCAGCAAATGAGAAGACCAGATAAGCAGCGGCTGAAAATAATGAAGAACAGACACACATACACAGTCCTTCTTTTATCAGAGAGATGCACAGTGAACATTTTTAATCCCTGCTTGTGTTTGTAGAATTGGCTGTAGTAAACAAATTTGAACAATTACATTAAAAAATATATATGTGTTCAGTGGACTGATGTATACATGATAACAGGACTCTGTGTGACTTCTTTTCAGCAAATTTTTATCAATGTAAATTTGCTCATCGCGCAAGTGAACTTTAAAGAGCTAGATGTATTAGTGCCACTGTTGTCTGTTTGTATATAGACCTCTCATTATACTGCAGAAGACTGACAATGCATGGCAGCTTAACATGACTTCATTATGTATTTTGTGGATTTCTTTTGTTACACCGGTGTCTCCAGAAAATAGCCACGATTTATAATTGTGTATCGTTTTTGAAATGACTAATGAAAAATGCTTAAACTACATTCCATGCTCAATCCCATTACGAATACAAAATGTGGGAGCGTAACAGTGAGATGGATTAATTAAGCAAATTAAAACGAAGAAGCCCAGACTCACAGTAGATGATATCTTTGTCATTTGGTCATGCTGGGAGAGACAGATGTTAAGCAGCTACCATGCTTATTGTGTATTGCCATCAGACATTAATCATGAAGGAAATAAGTCAGCTGAACATTAAGTGATCCTGTTAGACAGAAAGACAAACAAACCCCTCCCCCCCGAATATTAAATAATTTACTATTTACTTTTAAACAAGTGATAACACTGTCATTACCAAAAGCTATTCCGTCAAATAACTCCTTAAGCACACTAATTAGCAGTGAATGAACTCCAGTTGGGACGTTGCCTGAGACACAGAGACAGATAATTATCTACGGCTGAAAAAAACAGTCAGCTTTCAAATCTCTGTGGCAATAACATCGTCATAAGTTTGTAACCCTGAGCTGTAGGCGACATCCATGCTTAGCTCTGTCCGGCTCTCCAGTTCTGCTGTCAGCTCCTTCAGGATCCTTTCCAGGTCGTGGTTCTTCCTGTGCATCTGCAGGTAGTTGATCTGGAGCTGTTTCTGATACCTTATAACTCTGTCTTTCTCCTTGTTCCACGTCTGCCTCTCCTGTTCAAAGCTGCTGGCTAGCCTCTTTTGAGCATTCTTCTCCTCCCGTAGCTGCTGCTTAAGTCTGTCCACCTCTCTTTGGAGGGATTCTGTGGAGGTGTGCTCATTGTTCTCTCCCTCTCGCCCCTGGTCTGTGGATTCTGAACCTTGGCTTTCCGAGGTCTGACACGGGGAATGGGTTCTGACTTGCAAACTGTGCTGCAGCCTTTGCTCTTTGGCAGTGACTAGATCCTGTTTCATTCCTTGAATGTCTTTCTCCAGTTTGCCCACTTTCTCCCTCAGAAGATCTGCCTCATTCTTTTTGCGCTGGAGTTCATTTTGGCACACCTGAATTAAAAACGGAAAATGGTCAGAACCTAGGCAGCAATTATACGACTGTTGTGAGGGATGTAACAGGCTCTAATTATGCAAAGTGCCAAATAAGCTCACTTTTTAGGACTGTAATTAAGTGTGCTAAAACATGGAAATTGAAAACCCTTTACTCAATATGCTGCAGTCAAATATAGCACATGATTGCAGGGATCCTTCCAAGCTATTGTCATATGAGCATTGTGTGAGCATTTTATGCACATGTCCGTGTCTCATCTCTGCAGTGGCGTAAACTGCAATCAGCAGACTAACCTCAATGTCTATGGTGCGGGAGTGAAGACTGTCCTCGTGGTTTTTGTTCTGTTTCTCCAGAATCTCCATTTTTGCTGTTTTTTCCTTCAGCAATGCCCTGAGGCCGACTATCTCATTCAGCTTGTGGCTGACATCCGCTTGGCACTCTCTTAGCTGTTGCTTCAACAGTGAGATCTCTCCTGTCTTTTGGCACACCTACATTCAGACAAAGACGATTATGAAGATGAAACTGTGAATTATCGTCTGTAAAGTAGGCAGTTGGGGAAACGTAAACAACTGCTTAGCCTCATGCTGTTTTAATATTGAATTGCCCCTTAATGTGTCTTTTTGTGAGTGTATTTGCCTCAAGATAGCATATACCCACAGTATTACGGATTCAACTGTAAAGTTTGTTTTACAATTAGTCTTATAAAAATCTATAAAATTAGCACAGAAACCGTGAAAAAAAACCATTAATACATTTCTCTGCCAGGAATGACTGTATGCATGGAAAGCAACACTTTCACGTGCCAAAGATTAACTGTAAAATAGATAGTTAATAAATAAGCTAATAAAATTCTGGACTCCTTGTAGCTATTTTTTTTTCTTCACCTTAAATTGTTAAAGGCTTGTGTTCAAGAGCTGTGTTCTCTAAGCTTAGTTTATCAGAGCAGATTCTTGCTGCTGATAAATGTTAGTGAGGGGTCTGGCGAGACTAAATCAGATTAGTGCAGCAACCAAACAATGAGGTGAAAGGTGCTGAAAAGCTTCTTGGAGTTGGAGTTGAAGGGAGCTTCAGAGTTGGTGATAATTCCCTTGGCAGCCTCTTTGACTGTTAATCATATATATAGAAAATCAATCAGCATTTCTCCCAAATTCTTAGGAGTTAAGTTTGCAGCTACTCACAATATAAACGTATCAATATGCACTACACTGAATGCAGTGCAAATGGCTTTCAGTTCAATTCAAGTCAATTCTTTCTTATAAGTGATAATGAAAAAGCATTAAAACATAGAAGATATTCAAGTGTTTTCTCTGGTGATGGAAGGATAGCTGGTATCCCACTTCAGCTCTGTATTGTATTACACTGGTTTTCATGCTACAAGCTTTCATGTCTAACTTACAGTATATCACATATATAACCCATGACTTACCTCCCACTGAGTTTCCTCGAGGGTCGGAGCTAGCTGTGTGCTCTCTGCCTCATAAGCCTTTAGTTTGAGCTCAATAAGCTCCTTCTCCCGGGTTAGCTTAGAAAAGTCTTCCTGAAGCCTTTCCTTCTCTGCCTGCACGAGAATTTATTTTTCCTTTCAATTATTCAAGTGGTCAAGTGTTACATGAAATATGGTTGGTAGGATAAAGATGACCCAGGAATACGTGGTTTTAAATAAAGGCAGACGAGGGCTGACCTGGAGCTGGCTGACTTGCACCTGGAGTGCTTGCTGTGTTTTTGCAGCCATTTGGGACGCTTGGCGTAGCTTTGTGGAGCATCGCTGCTTCAGCCCTTCCATCTCTTCAGCGCAGTACCTTTGTCTATCCTCAAACAGCTGGCAGGTGTCTGTTTCCTTCTCCTCAAAACTCACCTGTTGCAAAGTGATAGAGGCCTAATTACTAAGGAGTGTTCATATTCATCGTGATTAAGAGCACATGCTGTTTTTTATTTTTTATTAACCTCTACTTTTTGTTCACGTGACAGTTCTGTACCTGCAGCTCCTGTAGTTCACTTTCTCTCTCCAGCAGCTTTTGTTCCAAGCGTTCAATCAGTGACTCATCTGTAGTTATGGGAGACCGAATCCCACCTGCAGTTTCAGAGAGAGCGCTCGGCTCGTCTGCAGAGAGTGGGGAGCCGGCGTCCTCATTAGCCTTAGATACCAACCCACTGTTGTTTAAATCAGCACCGTAACTACAGTCAAGGTTAGCGCTATTCCCATTGACCCATGGAGGGAAATTGGGTTGTACTCCCTCGCTGAGGCTATTTGCAGGAGCGGAGCTGCCATCGCTGTGACTGACAGGGCCTGTGGAAGCACTTAGGCTGCCGCTGGTGCTGTGGGTGGGAAGGCTAGACATGGAGTTGCGTCCAGAGTCGGACAGAGTGCCTGAGGGGAAAGAGATAACATCGGGTACGTTCGTTTAATTTTTCATTCAACCCAAGCAAAATGTATTTTAAAGCATCAATCCATGCGTGAAATATAGACGAAAACCTGAAGTGTCCCGCTTGTCTCTAATATTTGGATTGCTTGCTTTCTTCAGAGGACAAAGGATGTGGTCCAGGCTGTTGTGGCCTGTCTCTGTGGATGAAGTCCTTGTGGGATTTACGCACTTGAAGGCAGTGGAACGGACCGATGACTTCTCAGCAGAAGTCTGGAAGAGTGAAATGGCACACAGTCAGGGCTCTTCTTCCCTACTTTTGTATTTATATTCACTGGGTTCCTCTTAGTTAACATCACAGCCAAAAGCAAGTCCTTTTTCACAGAAGTATAAAGGGCTGAATTTGAGTCACATTCTTAAACTTAAAAATCATAATGACTGGCTTTACATAGATAAATATTGTCACATGCTGGAAGTCCGTTCAAATGAAAGGGATAGATTTTTTTGTGTGTGTCTTTTCATATTAGAAATAGAACCACTGAAGCGTGCAGAATTGCTTCTCTACAAGCTGCCGGTATTAAAAGACACACAGCAGTAGTTGCAAGTAAAATTCACCAGACTGTCAAAAAAGGGAAAACTCATTTCAAAGATGAACTTATACTCCACATGCCCCATCTGGGCTGTCCAAGAATGTCACAAGCAGTGCCATACCTTCGCTTCTTTCTGTCCTCTTTTCCTTCCTTCTGCATCCCACATCTCTCCTCCATGTGCTGTCTGAGGGAAGATGAATAGCCCTTTTCAGTGATATTAATAATATGAGCTATTGCTGAAGTGTAAGAGGTAAAGCTTGTGAACTCAGCATTCTTTCACACTGACTTCATGGCTGGGGTGCCTTTTCTTATGTTTTTTTCTTTCTATCTCTCAAATTCTCTTTGGCCCTTGATCCGTCGCTTTATTTTTATTTTTCCTTAGTCTGTGCTGTCTACTTAAATCCCGCCCTTCCTCCTCCTCAAGGTAGCCAAGCCCCGTCCATGAGGCCTAAAAACCTATAGAAGACGATGCTGTTTGCTTTGGTATTCTTGGCACAGAGAAGACTTTTCTGAAAAGATCAAGGCACCCTTAGGTCATTAATCTGGGAGGGAGTGATTAATAAGCTGGGAAGGTCCTACACAGGTTATGAGGAATAGCTGCTACTTATTAAACTACCTGCTGTGCATGTTTTATCCTCCACTTCGCTGTGAGGTTGTTAAAGTCTATTTCAGCTACTCAGCATGACTTCTTAATGGTTGTCAGGATAACCATAGCAACTGTTCCAGTTAAGGAAAGCACAGTGAAGCTACATTTTTTATAAGGGCATGAAAATACAGTACATCATGATCTCAATTAATATCTAAATGTATTACTTTAAACTTATTTGCTTAATGTTTTGGGTTGTCAAAGATGAACGCAGCAGCATCTAGGATTGGAAACTAAAGACTTATGAAACTGTGTTAGAGTTTAATTCTTTTTTATGACAGCAAGCAAAGGGCAAAAGGCAAAAGTCAAATCCAGTCTTTGCTTGTGAATTTGCTTGCTTGGACTTGATAAACCATAGACTGACATCACAATGGCTCCATCCATCTTCCACACAGGAGCCTATAACATATACAGTCATGTATAAAATTAAGTTTTTCACAGGACTCTATGTAGTCTACGTAAACCCTTACTGCTTCTGTAGGAATTATGAGAGTAATTAGCAGTCAGGTGATGCTAATGAAATATACTCTATTAATTTACCATCAGCTCAAGTGTGGGTGCCTCTATAAAAGCAGAATTTTTTAGTGTAAATGCTCCAGAACAGCAAGTATCAGCAATGATCTCAGTAAAACTATTTTTGTTGCCCATCTTTATGGTTATATGGTCTATGGTTATAAGGCCACAATCTGAAGTCTGTCATTATACAGTGAGAAAGATTATTTACAAGTGCAAAACATTCAGGACAACTGTTGGTCGTAACAGGAGCGGAGGAGGAGGAACAGGAGAGGATCTTCCACCTCCAGGTCAAACTGTTTGGCCATAATGCACAGCATTATGTTTGTTGAAAACAGAACACAACATTTCAGCTCAAACACCTCATAAGATCTGTTAAACACAGTGGTGGAGGGCTCATTATTTGGGCTTCTTTCCTTTGTTCTTTTTCTTCAGTAATTGAGGGCATGCAACAGGAAAATGACCCCAAGCATGGCAGCAACTTTTCAACAGAATGGCTGAAAAAGAAAAGAAGTCTAGACCTCAACCTAATTGAAATGCTGTGACGGGACCTTAAGAGAACTGTGCATAAACAAATGAGCTGAAGCAATGTTGAAAAGCAGAGTGGACCAGAAATCCTCCACAACAAGTGGAAAATGATTACTTCAGGTTGTTGCTGTTAAAGGTCTTTCTACAAGCTACTGAATCGCAGTTTACTCCGTTTTTCCATGGACTGCATAGAGTCCTGTGAAAACTTTCTTTTTCACCTGACTGTGAAAAAGAACTCAGCTAGCAACCAGTTAGCGTCATGCTGGAGGGAGCTGCCAGCCTGACTGTGTCTGATGTATAAACTGTATAAAAGAATGAGATAGCTGCTGTAATTTCAATTAAGTGGATTGTGGGCAGTGGCTGTGAAGCCTGTGGGCACCATCGTCTTGGATATATTGATCACCTTGGATTAGAGGATGGAGCCGAAGAGGAAAGATAGTCGAATCTGACTGAAAATCAATCATTACAGTAGCCAAGCTCTGCTTTATTCTTTATAATCAACAATGCACGACCTATAACATGAAGCTAGTCAAGGAAACCATACATCTATTAGAAAAAGGTTAACAGAGGTAATAAATTACCGTAAGCTAAATTCTAGATCAGGTTCTTTTTGCCACCTGCTGGCCATATGAAAAATGCAAGCCCAAGGGACATCTTTCCCTAAATTAGCCCCACCTTTCATAAACATGGGCTATATCTGCTACTTTATTTACAGGTTTTTTTTTGTCATTTTTGTAGCCTTGAGCACTAACTTGTAGGTGTCTGATTGCCTAGCAACAGCTGTAATGAGAAACAGCTGGAATAAATTGGTTAATTTTTTTGTGCTTAACCTTTTAAATCTTGTCTTATATTCTAAGAATAGCACGATTAAGCATGGAGGAAGAAAACAACAACAACACCAGGCTCACCTTCTCAGTCACATTTCCAGACATGAGCAGCAGTTTTGGTTGCATCTGCCCATCAGATTTCCCATTTCTGTTTACCTGTCCCTCCGCTGATCTCTCTCTGTGGTGCGTTGACCTCTGTTTATTGCTTACCTTGTGTGAAACAGAATAAATCTGTTACCCCAAAGCACCGTTGCATGTTGTAATTTTTTCATTCTCACATGCCATCAAAACCCCCCAAAACATGTCATCTCACCTTAATATAAAAAAAATCTTCGCTTCTTCCAGACCTTGAGTGGGAGAGGCCTTTGGAGGGATGAGTGGAGGATGAGGAGCCCTGAGTGAAGCCGCACTTCAGTAACCCGTCAAGGCTGCAACCTCCACTCTTTCTGTGGCTGCTTGTTCCCTCCTTTAACCTGTGCTGAGATGCCTTGCAGTGCTTGCTGCTGAGGCTGTTGTCACTGAGGACACTGCTGACGCTACCCATGGTCCTGTAGGCAAACGCACGGGCGAGATGCAGCTAAAGTCTAAACGGTGAGGTTACACTGAAGTAAGGGAAAGGTTCATCTCGTGACCCCACGGAGGTTCTGTCAGTGGCTTCATCTGTGAAACGAGAAAAGGATAAACATAAAGGATGCACAGTATCATTAAACAGAAGATTTTTATTCCATGGAAAGGATACAGCCTTATTTTAGTTGCTCAACTCATAGTTTACTTTTGATGCGTATCACTGTTGTTTAATTGTTGTTCAGTCTATTGTGCAGTGTTGAGGCAGGTGTTTAAATTTGCAAAGCAAACTAAGTGGAAAAAAAAGTGTCTATCTTGGCACTCTGCCTGGCTGTGTATGTTTAGATTTATGACTCAGCCGTTAAATTTGACAAATAACCCTTTGGGTGCCCTTCCTCTAAACAAACTGGCAATTAGACTACTTACTGCCTTCTCAACAATTGGCTGGGGCTGCCATCTGAATATTATTTTCTATTTGCTATTGTTTTGGAACATATTACAGATAGACCGGCAGCAATTATGAAATAAAGATTAAGTGCACAGAACCTGTGTAAATTTATGTAGTTAACATTTCTAATTACAGTCTACAAGGACATTTATTTGCACAGTCACACATTATGAGTGTGACTGTGCAGTTGTCCTCATTTTCCTCGCCTTCTTTCAAAGATAACCAGACCCCAGATGTTGCTATCATGATCTCTAACCCACAAGGGAAAAGTCCCCTCAGCAGCAGATAAAGGGCTCCTAGAACCACATGGTCCTGAGCTTTTAAGCATTTAATAATGGCCACAGCAACAAAGCCTGTGACTAACGACCTCCTATAAGTTATATATATCTAAGCTATTGCATTTGGCTTGAGTTTAATTCATAATTTATGGTTGCCCTCCAGTGTTTGTAAGGAAACTAACTCTCATTGTACTGTTTCTGAAATGCCTCATAGGGAGTGCTGATCAAGGCTGTGACTTTTTATTCACCTTAAAACAAAAGTAAGGGAATTGAGACATTTAAAAAAATGCTTTTAAAATCAACAAGACACCAACTGACACAGAGTGGCATGCATACAGAAGAATAAAAGTATTGTTGGGATATAGCAGAAAAGAAATATTTTTTGATCAGTCTAGATGAATACAAGAAAGGAAAGCACATCCAGAAATACACAAAGACCACTAATAATAAGAGACATCTTCAGCACTGCTTCAGTTTTGATTCTCAGTTTTGTTCAGGATAAAATTCCAAGTATATTCTACAAACTAAACATATACTGAAAATGTTGAATAATGGCTAATGATGGTAAATTCGCACTCGCAAGAGTCTAAAGCGAGGCAGTCTTGTGCACCACTCTAGTAAAGAGTCTCTGACATGCCTGTGTCTGCTGCTGTTTTATTGTCCCTGAGTGACTGCTGCTAAATCTAAACTCTAGCCTTCACCATCATTCTCAGATATTAGCATCTACCGCTGACATGGGACTGATGTAATGAACAATAGATTTTACTTACTGCCAGGTCAAACTAAACATCCATCTCTAGCAAGGCCGCTGCAGAGTCATCTATCCAGCCCCGAAGAAAACAAAAAAGCAGACATGTGTACGTCTCTGTGCGCGCGGGTGTGTGCATGTGTGTGTGTGTATGAACGAACAAGCAGCAAATGCAAACACTATCACCACGGCCAGGGTCTGCTAACTGTTTGTGAAGGGGGTGGATCTTCCTGCTTTTCTTTTCAGCCTGTAACCGGCTTTGCATCATAACTGACATGTAAATTCAAGTGTGTGTATGTGTGTTGTTGGACCTCCCACTCCTCTCAGGGGATCCAGTGTACAACATGTGCTCCATAGAACTGGCGTGTGCCGCTCAAGTGATTAACTCTCAGCCTTCACAAAAGATCTTTTACACTCCCCCCCTTCACAGTGCACCTCCCTCCACTCTGCACAATCACCCGCATACACCCCGTTTGTGCATCCACTAACTGTGTTATGCCCATTCATCCTTCCCTCTCTCCTTTTTTTCCATCAGTCCCTCCCTCATCCATCCGTCCCACTTGGTGCCCTGCACCCACCCTGAATAAACAACAGTTCATCCTAAGGAGAAAAAAAGGCGCTCGCCCTCTGTCTTTTGGCTCTTTGTCTGTTGAAGTGTGCCTTCTTTGTGTGGACTCTTCTGTGCCAGTTGATGTATTCTCTCCAAACAGCCCAGGACCATATTTGACTGTTAAATAAATGACTAGTCCTCAAAATAAGAGTGCTGGAGAGCATCGGTTTTAGAGCGATTTACCACCATTCTGCCTTTATGCTGTTTGTTCAGGCATACACCCACAGACCCACTCTTTCACACACACCTTTGCGCGTCAACACAAATTGCACACACTCTCACAGTGTCATTGCTGGAGTCCAGCTCTCTCTAAGGCAGTAAAGCATTCAGCATCCCACAGAGCCCAGACTGTTGACAAAAACCCTTGTGGATGAAATACAATCAAGCCTGGCAACAGGAAAATATACAAGGCACTGTGATCCACATAACAAACAACAACAACAAGGGAGAAGATATGGCCTTTCTCTGCAACTGACAAAACAAGTTTAAATCTTACAACCCATTTTTGTCACAAGTAAACATATACTTTGTGTTAATGTGAGGAAGCAGAGTGCTTTGCCATGCATCTAGACAGAGCACAGCAGATTTACTGATACTGATAATGTGAAACAAAAATCAATGTGACAAAAATCACTTGTTTAAAATTGAACTGATAGCGTGCTGTGCAAAGAAGCAAAGCTCTATACTATGGGCTCTGGATGTGCAGACAGAATTGCAGAAAAGTGAGTCATATTGCATCATACTGTCTGAAACCTTTCACCATAAAGTGTTTTCACAGTCTTTTTGCTCTTTGTGTAATAATATACAATAATTCTGTTGATGTGCCATAATTTTTTTCAGCGAGGCTATTCACTCATGCTTTCAGCCGGCTGCCATTGTTCCTCAGTTAGTCGTGTTCAGATCCTGAAGCCTGCTTTCTGAACAATGATCCTGACATTTTACTTTTGTTACTCCTGACATGGTACTCAGAACTGATCAATTTCACGTCTGTTTGACGCAAATATAGCAATTTGAAAATCTTTTCATTGCCCCTTCATTCGAAAAATTTAATAAGCAATATAAACAGTTGATTCCACAGCCTTTGAGGGGACAGTGTGATTTAAGACCTCTGGTGTGTTGGGACTGGGGAGTGTGAGTTTGTGTGGATGCATGCAGATATCTAATCACATATCTGACTGCCTGCATGTTTTTCAGTGTCTGCACAAAAGAGTGTTGTGCACTCGCTTATTGTGTGTGTCTCTGTGTGCAGGCAGGGGATGATGTGTGTGTGTGTGTGAGCGTGGGCGCTGTGTCATCTAACCCCAGCTGACCTGCTTGACACAAAGCCCTACCCCGCACAGGACCAGCTGACACTACACACCCCTGTTCCCCACCCCCCACTCCCCCACCCGAAAACACACTCACACATACATACACACACACACTCACAGAGCATAGCCAATCCATTAGCCCAGCCAATGGCAGGCAGCAGTAAGTGTGTTATAAACATCCAGGATTTATACCTGTCTCACAATGACCATGAAACTCTCCTCTGTTCTCACTGTACCTCTACACTGCCACTGTGCCAGATGGCATCTTTTTAATTCTCACTCTTTTTATGGTAATTTCTAACAGATGCATGGCTAATCTCTCCGGTTCACTATATGTTTTTTTTAGGTCATTGTTGGGCAGCTTATTTTTCTTTGTTCTCTTGTGCATTCAACATCATCAATCTCATTTGTTTTCCTTACATTTCAGAGACCAGCGTACTTAAAGTAAATTTTAAGCTACTAGTTCTAACTACTGTTTTGCTTTGCGTAAGGCTAAAATTCATTTAAGTATTTGTTGTTTGAGGCTTTTAATGTAAGTTAAGCTAACTTGAGTTAACTTAAACATTTGAACAAAACAAGTATTATTTTACCTTATTTACAGGTGTTTTTTTTTTTTAATGATTGAATTAAACATGAAGTGGTCAAAGGGTGAGATATTTTGATATTTGGTCATTTGTATGACTATAAATTCAAAAATACTTCCCAGAATGCATTGCTCAACAATATCTTAAACCTGTCATCTGAACAAAGGCTACAGTTTGAAATACAGCATTTCTATTCTATTCATGTTACATTACTACTTTTTTGGAGACATGTAAGGACACCATACAGAGTATCAAGAACAACAGAAGATTTATACAACAATTTACACAGAATATAAATTATTACTAAATAATGTACAAAATCTGCAGTTGTTGTTCTCTACCAGTAAAGTTTAGAGATGGACCGATCTGATAATACATATCGGTATTGGTCTGATACTAACCTAAATTACTGGATCGGATATCGTAGAGAAATAAAAAATGTAGTCCAATCCGAAGTATCACAAAATCACCTTACAAAAACACGCTACTTGGTGTAACCCAGATCGCATCGGAACAGTATGTGTCATGTGATAGAGCGGCTGTTGGCATCTGTTGGAGCATTTGGAGCCTGGCTACATGCTTCCTAACCACGCCATTTCATCTATCCCAGATAAGTAAAGCAAGTGTGTAAGTTCATCCCTGAATGTTTGCATAGTATTTCCACGTTAAGCTTAACAACTGATATGTTGAGCCACAGCTGGACACAGCTGGAGTTCCATATTGAGGTGAAAAGGAAGTGATTTGTTCCGTACTTCAGCTAGAATTTAAACATAGACACAAAGCTGGAGTTATTCTGTCTTTGCTGCTCAGTTGCATCTACTTCTTTCATTCACTCCCCCTCCCTCTCCTGTTATTACTTAAAACATGAAACTGATCAATGATCAGCTGATCGGCTTTTCCTCTTTCTTGTTTGTTTATCGCCCACTTTGCGCTAGAAAGAGGAGACCAGCGGATAAACAACAGCAGCACGTTTAAGTGTGAAAAGCTGTTGTTAAAATTTATTTAATATTAATTTCTAGTATCAGCTGATGTTTGCTGGTCATGATATCCGTTTGGATATGTGGTGAGAGGGAAACA